GACAGCTATCCAAATAGCAGAAGGAAATGACGGTTCACAATCAGAAAAGAGACACTATGAAAAGTAGACAAATTAACTTAGGAAAGCACGGAAATGAGGGTGAGAGGCCATCACATTTCAGTAACCAATGACCAGCACTATATCACAGGACAGGATAATAACTGGCTTCAAAATGATGACACTGCGTGAAGGTAAAGATGTCTCCTCTGTTTAAGGGGACGGCAGAAAGTATGATTCCCTTTGAAAGAATTTTGGGAAATAATACTTGCAAATAAATAATTAAGACCCTCCCCCCCAATTTTAGTGCTTAAAGGAGCAACATTATTATTTTTTAATTTGAATTTTATTTATTTAATTTTTATACATCCAGGGAGCAAGATGATTATTATTAATTTATATGGATTCTGTGTCCTTTGAGGAAGTTGGATAAATGATACTTTCTGTGCACGTGCAAACACGTGTCATATCAGTTATATTTACCTCGATTTTCATATTTGACAAAGCATTCTAGTTTCTTCTGAGAGCACAGAATCAGCAGTGAGAAGGAATACACATTTGTTTTAAATATTGTGATCGCAATGAAGCAGCACGTTGATTTTTTCCACACCTCAGCTCTGTGATTCAGGTAAATTATTACCTAGGTGGACATCACTTTCCTTACTCATAAGTAGGGTGGCAGTGAGATTCGTAAGCATAAACGAGCGCCCAGCACAGGGCCTGTGAGCGTGGTGGCACCAGCTTGCCCGGCCAGCCAGAGCCCGTTACACACTTTTCCCAACTCAGTGTCCCGTGACTGCATGTGGGTAGCTTGAAGTCAGCCATGGTGGGCGTGTTTACACCACAGACGTGGGCAGATCAGACAAGGCCTTTTTTCCTGGAGAGCCAGTTTTTAAACGTTTCCTAGCTTGCCACAGGTGCCCCCTCAGCCTCTCTTCGTTCCTGCACCCTTGCCTTTCCCTGACATCATGTTTGTCGTCTGAGTTGCTCTATGAGCTTTGCTCGAATCCAGCTTGCATCAGAGTCGCTGGAGAGCTGGCTACAACACGTACTGCTGGGTCCTGCTCCTAGACTGTCTGATTTAGTCAGTCTGAAATGGAGCCCAAGAATTTGCATTTCTAACGCTGACGTTGCCGGTGCGGGAACCAAAGTATGAGACACTGGTCTAATCTACTAAACTGGAGTCTACAGTGCAAAGTGTAGGGCACAGAAGAGATTCCCATCTTCTGTCTCAGACGATGCATGACAAATTCTATGAATACTCACCTAGTTCTTGGCACATATACCATCAGATTTAATCTCCTTAAGAACCCTAGGAAGTAATCATTACTATTTTAACCCCCATTTTATAGATGGGGAAACTGAGGTTCAGAGGGATTAAGTAACTCACCCAGGGTCACACAGCTCATAAGCAGAGAAGCCAAGTTAAACTCAGGTCCTCCCACTCTGGGGCCGTTGCATTCGTGGTACAGACTGTGAAAAGCTCAGTGGTGAGTAGAGGCTGGAGTCAGCATGCCCAGCTGCGCACCCGCAGGGCCACATCAGCCCAGGAGGTGCCTTTTTCTTACCTGCCTTAAGGTGCTATATGGGCTTGCAGTGGTGGTGTCCAAATCCATACCCTCTCCTCCCTTCACTGCAACCCCTGGAGTCTCTAAACTGGTGGGAAGGCAGAGCAAGTGGGAGAGACAGAAAGCACAGAGAGAGGGCCACGGAAAGACATTATTTGAAGCATAATCAAGCTGGCACACGTGGGCATGTGGAAGAGGTTTACAAAGCCGCTGTTCCTGCAGGAGGTTTGGGGGCAGGTGTCAGCGGGGTGGAGCAAGGGAATTTGGCTGGAGACAGAGCCGCAGATTGTCGGTGATGAGTGCTGTATCTCCTGCCCACCCCTGGCATGTGTGTGGCATGGAAGATGCCCAGTGGGTGGGGCGATTAGCCTGTACCCCAGGGCGCCTGGCTCTGCCTCCTGCTCTCCTTCCCACTGCCTTTCCTCAGTTAGATTGCTCCGGGTAGTAGCTGCCAAAGCCGTTTTGTTGGATCTGATGAGTTTATTAATTTCTTGGGGGCTAATGGGAGCGTTGGTGGGACATTCATTTCCTGACTGGAGCTTGGGGGCTGATTTGTCTTTTTGCCACGTCCACAGAGGTGGGTGTGGGAGGCGACATGGCTCGGGCTGTCGGATCTGGGTCTGGGTAAATCATTTCTATCTCTGGCTTTTGCAACCTACCTACCTCGTGGCTTGGGTCAGACAGGGAGTGTGGAGCTGGGGCGGGCAATCAGTGAGGACTGGGTCCCCTGAGAACAATGGGGGTGGGAAATTGGGGGGGAGTGGGGGGGTGAGGTCTTGCTGGCCCTGTCGGTGTGAAGTGCATGTTTAGATGACAGGACTCTGAGAAGCTCAGTCCTGTCCCAAACATCCAGGTGCTGACATCCGGCCTAATTGTTCTTTATGTCCTTCTGTCCTTCTGTCCAAATCTGGCCCTTCCTATCCTAGGAGACTGTCAGAAGCCAATTCTAGCCATTTTGAAGAGAGGGAAGTAGCCTCATTTCACCTGACTTTGTGGATGTAAAAACCCAGGAGGGAAAAAGCCGTGTCCAGGGTTCTTGCTGTGTGGCCGAGACTCCTTTGAGCCTTTCTCCTCCTCCTTATGTGGAGGAGCCCTTGGCATCCCCGCCCAAGAGACAGCAGTGGACACGGAAAAGTCTTGGATTTAGGAGTCAGACAGCTCTGTGTTCAAGCCCGTGCATCACCTGCTAGCCAGGTGACCTTAGGCAAGCCATTAAACCTCTGAGCCCCAGTTTCCTCGTACATAAAAACATCATCACTACTTCACAAGGCTGGTGGGAGAATTCAAAGAGATGATAGAACACATCCAGCACAAGAGGGGTCCGGTAACTATTGCTCTCCTTTGCCCTTCACTTGAAAATCTAGCTGCTTATCCCTCATCTTCCCCATCTCTCTCCCCTGCAGAGAGAGGGGAGGAGGGGAAGCTCAGGCCATACCCTGACCTGGCTGGTCCCCCCTGTGGGCCCTCCAGAGACCAGAGGACGCTTGCCTACCTCCTGTTCATGCCCTACCGACAGCAGCACTCAGCCCAAGTGATGGTTTCCCCCGCCTCCAAGTACCGGTCCTGAGCAGGGTGCCGGGCTGTGAGCACGAGCAAGCCAGCCCCTCACAGGCTAGCCAGGGAGGTGGACAAGTAAACAAGACGTGCAGTAGGACGCTGGAAGAGCCGGGCAGAAGAGCCACGAAGGCTTCCTTGGGGAGACTCATCCAGGGTTAAGAGCCCAGGGGTTAAAGCTCAGGTGTCTCAGCTGATGGGGAGGTGACCTCAGGCAAGTTGGGTGGGCTCCTATCTTGGCGTCAGTTTCTTTATCTAGAGGGGGCTTCCGGTGTGGATGTGCAGAGCACACGACTTGTAAACTAAAATGAGCAGGGGCACGTGCCTCACTTTTCTGCCCACACAGAGGTGGAGAAAGCTGCCCAGCCCCCTCCGGTGGCGTCCTCGCTGAGGCTTGGAGAGGGGTTTTTGGTCATCTCTCCTTTGGCAGGTGAAAGACCCACCTGGGGAGACCATCGGGCTCCTGCCTGGACCTGGAGGCATCCAGCCTGGCCCTCTCCTCTTCAAAGTCCAGACCATGACGTCAGGGAGATGGTTACTGCCCCTTGTGACCCCCAACGCTCCGGCCCCGGGGGAGGGGGGGTGGGGACCAAGAGTGAGATGTGTCTTTATTGTGGTTGGAGCTTCCACAAGAGGAACCCAGAGCCCAGCTCTGGTGGGTAGAGCCATGTGGCATCCATGGAACTTGTGAGGGTTTTCCAGGGAAGCTGCCGCTGGGGCCTGGCAGAGGTGTATGTGTGCATTTCATTGGTTTTCTAGCCAGCTATCAGCCGTCTCTCCTGGTGGCCCACCTCCAGCACCCAGCAGCAGAAATGAGTTGTCAGGGGCTCCAGCCAGTAGAAATGTATTGGTAGCACACACACATATGTGTAGTTATAGAAAGGGTTCCACTGGGAAAACAAACAAACTCCCTAAAAACCCAATGATGCTGAATTTCGATTTAGGTGACTTTCTAAAATGGGGGAACTGAGTAAGTTGTGGATATGTTCCCCCCTAGGAGTCAAGACAATGGGGAAAAGGAAGGAAACTAGCATTTATTGAGTTTCAGCTTAAATACATTCTCACAATGACCACATAATGTTTCTATTATTCCCATTTTACAGATGAGGAAAAACCTTCAGAGAGGTTCAGTCAGTTCTGGGTTTACTCAGTGGAGATCCACGCTCCTGGGTCTGGCTGAACCATGTAACCTCGAACTGGCACATGCACGATCTCAGCTGGCTCTGAGAAGAAGGCAGAGCAAACGTTACTGCCTCCATCTATAGCTGGGGAAACTGAGACTCGCAAAGATCGAAGTAACTTGCCTAGGTTCTCGCAGCCAGCAAAGTGAATCCACCAGGACTAGAGCCTGGTCTTCCTTCCCTCTTCTGGTTCATCCATCCATTGAACCATTCAGCAAACATTTATTGAAGAGCCTCGTAAAGGCCAGTTCTCTCCAGTAGCCATTCTGGTTCTTATTTAGATAATGAGGTTTATTGAAGGCAGACTGTAGCGAAAGGGAAGGCTCTGTCCTGCCTCCAGATGATGCAATTCCAGGGGCTCCCTTCCCTTCTGGGTGAGACAGCATCCCTGAACTGCGTTGCATTCCTGATTTCTTTTTCCATTTTCCTCTTCCACCTCTCTCTTAAGTCTTCCCCTCCCCTCGCAGTCTCCCCACCCACCCCTGACCCCCCAACCCTGGTAGCTCTGCCCCGGTCCCGCCCCTCTGCTCTGCACTCTGCATCCCTCCCTCCTTCTGTGATGTACATGTACCCCCACCAGAGGCAGGGAACCAGCCTTTCAGCTCCCCCAGCCCTGGAGGCCCGAAGGACCTCAGCACCCCAGCTCCCCAGCCTTCTCCTCCCCCCACCCCTTCCCAGCCTGTCTCCTTGGTCTCCTCAGATTGGCCAGTGGCACGTGGCAGACGGCCTCAGCATGGACAGCCGCCTCTACGCCTCCAATGTCTCCGACAGCCTCTTCAATACCACCCTGGTCGTCACCACCATCCTGGTAAGCGGGTGCCCCCTGGGCCTCCCAGCTGCCACTCTCCGGGGTGCCTCCTCCATCTCCAGGCGTTCCCAGCCTCCCCGTGAACAGAAGATGGGAGCTCTAATCACAGCACGGAGGCCAATTTATGACAGTGTAATTAAACTCAAGTTGTTGTTTCATATGGAAATGATATCTGATGAGTTCCAAAGCAGCTGGGGAAGCAGGATGGGGTGGCAAGACAGCACAGTTTGTGGACGCCTCTTCCAGGGGCACCCTGACAGCCAGGGCAGCTGTGCACAGCCAAGGGCAGGGCACCTAGGACACGCGGGAGAAGTCCCCCAGGGTGGCTCCTACTCTTTCACGACAGCCTGCTTTCCTTGGTGCCTACTTGTACAAGTTGCATCCCTGGCAGTGGACACCTGAATCGCAATGGGTTTTCATGGTCTATGTCTTCATTTCCAGTTGATCAGAAGAAAGCTCTCAATCTAGAGAGCAAGGGACCATCTGCCTTTTTTATTTGATTCAGTTCTCTATCTATAGGGCAAGGGACCATCTGCCTTTTTTATTTGATTCAGTTCCCTTCGACAATTGCCAAGCCCTTCCCCCGTGTGCCAGGCACTGTGCTCATTCTTAGAGACTCGAGGCTGAGTAAGACTCGGTCTCTGTCCCCAAACAGGCTGTAGTTTCTTAGACGGCGCGAATCAAGTGCGTTCGCGGCCAGAGTCATCTTCTCCCCTCCCCCATCCCTGAAGACTTCAGGTTTTAAAAGATTTGTCCGTTAACCAACTGCATGTATTAAGTAATTATGAGTTTGCCCCCTTCCCCCACCTCCTCTTAACCAATCAAAAACCTATTTCCCTGACGGGCCCAGCACCTTATCCACAGGAGATAATCAGTGTGGCCGCACTGATGGAATCCCAGCCCCAAACAGACTCGACTGTTAGCCTGTTCAGCCTATTGTGCTGTTGCTAACTGTGCAAAGGTTTGGAAACGCGTCCGTTTCTTTCAGGCTTTCGAGATGATAAAAAGAGCTCAGGGACCTCCATCACTACATTCATGAACTCCTGGGGCTCAGGAGGCCTGCACTGAAATAACTGATCCCCCGTGAGCAGGGCAGGATAAAAGCCAGGAAAGAGGCGCACGCCTAGCGCCATGGGGGGTGAACGAGAGAGAGGTCCCATGCCATCGGGGAGGTCAGCAGAGCCTTCCGAGGAGAGGGACATTGAGGATGGGCCCCCAAAGACAGGGCTGATGAGGGGGGAGAAGTGGACTAAGGAGAGTGTTGTCGGGCACTCAGGAAATGCCAAAAAGTGCAGGTTTCTAGGAAATGGGCATTGGTAGAGAGGGAAAGGCCTGAGGCTGGAGAAGTGGGCTGGGCCCATAATGCTTAGGGACTTGAATGTCCAGCTTGTGAGTTTTCCCTTCATTTGGTACGAGACAGGGGCTCACCGAATATTTTCAGTCATTCATTCAGTGAATATTTGGGGGGCACTCCTGTGTGCTGGGCGCTGTTCTAGGTGCTCGGGTGTAGACAGAGCTGAGGAAGGGGAGAGGGGTTGCTGGCTTCACTGAGAAGGGCAGATCCGAGTAGAGACCTGATGAGGTGAGGTGACAACCACGTGGCTGTCTGGGACGGAACATTCCAGGTAGAGGGAACAAAGCAAAGGATGGAGAAGGCAGTTCCAGCTGGCAGGGTTTTAGCCACTCCCCATCTCAGCCCAACCTGAGCTCATCTGAACCAACGTGGAAATGTCAGCAGGATTTGGGGGTGGGGGTGGTGTCACCAAGCCCCTGAGACCTGGGAGCGCCTGGCTGAGCTGCAGTGACGCTGACCGGCAGTCCTGGCCGAGTGGGGGCAACATGCACATGATTGCTGGGACCTGCTCTGCCTCTGAAGGACTTCCTGAGTCTGTCACCTGCTGTCCATCCTCAAGCACATGCCCTAACATAGGTGTAGCCACCTCTTCACTGGAGCTGCGTGTGGCCTCCTCAAAGGCCCCCTTCTCACTTGTTCAGTCTGTCTCTCCCTAGCCCCGCCCTTCTGGCTGCACGGCCATTCTAAAATCAGAACCGTCCTGTCATTTCCTCACTTCAGTGCTGCCCAGGAGCGACCAGCCCTGAGCTTGGAATATAAACCTCTCGTCATGAAGCCCATCCTGCTGTACCTGCTTCCTCTCCATGCCACGTGGGGTCTGGCAGCACTGGACTGCCTGACACTTCCTCACTGCGTCATGCTGTTCCCTGCCTCTGTACATGCTGTTCCCTCTGCCTGGAATACCCTCTCTGTGAATTCCTGTTTCCACCTGGAAATACTTGTACAGCCTTCACAGCTTGGCTCTGATGTCCCCTCTTCCGTGAGGTCTTCCCTCATCTGCCTCCTGCCTGCTCCCTGCCTCTCACATTTTGTACACACCTTTCTCCTATTAGAGTTGGCGTTTACAGCTCTACCTCCCCTTCCAGAATGAGGGCTCCTGAAAGACTGGGGGGCCTGACACAAAGTAGGAGCCTGATAATTACAATTTTCTTTTCTTTTTCTTTTTTTTTTTTTGGCTGTGTTGGGTCTTCGTTGTTGTGTGCGGGCTTTCTCTAGTTGCGGTGAGTGGGGGCTACTCTTCGTTGCGGTGCGCGGGCTTCTCATTGCGGTGGCTTCTCTTGTTGTGGAGCACGGGCTCTAGGCATGCGGGCTTCAGTAGTTGTGGCACACGGGCTCAGTAGTTGTGGCACGTGGGTTCAGTAGTTGTGGCACATGGGCTCAGTAGTTGTGGCTCGCGGGCTCTAGAGCACAGGCTCAGTAGTTGTGGCGCACGGGCTTAGCTGCTCCACGGCATGTGGGATCTTCCCGGACCAGGGCTCAAACCCGTGTCCCCTGCATTGGCAGGCGGATTCTTAACCACTGCACCACCAGGGAAGTTCCTGATGATTAGAATTTGAATGAAGGAATTCCTTCCTACAGGGTCAGAGATGTCCCTCAAAAGCCAGTTAAGAGTTTGAGAAAGAAATGGGGACATTGCCGGGTTTTACTTCCTGCCTTTCCGGAACTGGAATTGGACGGGGCTCAGAGCTCTGGCACAGACCCACGGGGACACTGAGACCGCAGGGTCATGTTTCTAGACTGGGAAAGTCAGTCTGACCCTGTGTGTGAGTGCATGCACGCACACGGCTGTTCACATATGCACACGTGTGCTCATGAGGGTGGGGAAGGACACTTTTGTGAAAGGGAACATTTAAAAACATGGCCAGTACGATTCAAATGAGAACCTTCTCTTGTGCATGTGTGTAGAAGTCAGTAACTCTTACCAGGAATGATTACCTTAATTTAGTCCCTGCTGGCCTTTGGGAGACCTCCTTGGCAAATGGCCACCTGAATGATTTATCCCTTAAAACTCAGCACACAGGCCTGTTGCATCCTGCTACTGTCAGGGTGCAGCTGGGACTTGAGAGTGATTTATTGGTTAACACCGGCAAATACACAGAATTAGCCGCAGCTCCCACCCCTAGAGCACACCCCTGCATCAGAACTCGGGTTAAGCGCTTTGCCCTCATCACTGGCCGCCAGGACAGGGCTCCAGGCCAGCACGCGGCCCCCAGACCCTCCAAAGTGCCAGTGAGCACCGCCCCCTCCCACACGGTTCCTCCCTCCAGCACTGGCCTCCTGTTTATTTACTCTAAATATGTCAGTGAATTTTAAATTAACTTAAGTGCGAAGAGTTCTCGGGGAGAAGAGTTTTGTGACACTCCTTGGGATCGTTAAAGATACCCTGGGAGGCTGCCTTCCAACCCAGGCGTGGAAATGCCCAGCCAGGCCCTGTCGGTGAGGCCATTTCAGCACTTTTCACCCACACAATCCACAAGTGCTGGACGCTGGGGCCAGGTGGGGGCCCCAGAGACAGGGAGGAGTCCGTCCCAGGCTCCACGTACGTTCTACCTGCGAGCTGGCACGTGTAGGAGGACGAATAATGAGTGTGTGGAGGCCTGGCTGTGAGTGCGGTAGGGGTTCTGAGAAGTGGGTTGGGGTCAGAGGTGGGATGGGACCCCAGGGACAGAGATGAGTTAGGTTAAGCAAAAGCAGGACAGAGAGAGGCCCGTGAGCTGAGGACAGCATGTGTGGAAGTCAGGGAGCTTGGGCCCATTTCACAGACATGACAGCGCACTTGACCATGAACCAGAAGCACATCACCTTCAACTTGAAGCTCCCTCTCCCTGGCACGGAACCTCCGACCTTCCCCTCTTCCGCTTCATCACACCCACAAGACCACTCTCCCTCTTCCTCCCTTTGCGACCTCTGGCCTCTCTGGCTGCCCATCTTCCCCAGCCCAGAAGCCCCTTCCAGCTTGAGCTCAGCAAACCAGCAGTTCAGCACTTCCCTCTGTTGGCTTCTAGAATTGACTCCACCATGATGCTCAGCCATTCTCCCCTACTGCCCGTCCCCGAGTCCAACCGTCCTTGCAAGCCCTGCTCTCAGCTGCCCATCTGCATTCAGCCTCCTGACCCAGCTGGGCCTGGGCAACCCTGCGCTCCTCTCTGCTCACCCCACATCATGTTCCCCGAGGAAACCTTTCCAGGCACCAAGCCTTCCCTCCTACCTGCCCCCACCTCTGGGGGCTGGCATGGCTCCGTACCTTGGGCCTCCTCCGCGCCCCCTCTGTACCCACATCTATGCTCTCCACCTCACCCCCAGGCCCACTTCCCATGTTCACCTAGACCCTGGCTCTCCCGGGACTTTGCTGCACTGACTAGTCTTCTCTTTCTTCCTTTTCTAATCTGCCCTTTTCTAAGGATTCCTCCCTTCGTACCTACACATGTACTCTGGTCCCTCCCATCCTAAGACACCATCACTACCACCTTACCTACACCCTGCTGTCCTTGGGCTACCCTCCTATTTAGGGAATCATCCATCAAGGGATTGGTGGATACTGGGCATCCTCCAAGCCTGTTGCAGGCAGAGGGGGAACTGAGGTTTGGAGCGAGACATAGCCAGTAGCAGTTGGGTGGAGAAGCTCTGCCAGCACTTGTCTCTGAACTTCTCAACATCCTGGTCGGCCCTCACCCGTGCACCTCTCGTGCACACCCGTCCTTGCGGGGTTCTGCCATCCCCTCCCCCCTCCCCACCCCAACCTGCCTTCGAAGGTCTCCAGGGACATGTGACCCAGATGCCCTTTCACAGCCCTGCTTCCTCTCTTTGTGGGAATGTCTGCCTTCTCCTGCTTGAAACCCTTTCCTCCTTGACCTTCATGACCACATTTTCCTGATTGTCGGCTTTTCTGGCCGCTTCTGCTTTGTCCTCCTCTACGGCTGCTCTTCACTTTCCCCCTCCCTAAGATCAGGTCTGTCCCTCTGCTGTCCTTCCCCCCGATGGTCTCTCATATGCTGCAGCTTCAGCCATCACCTCTGTCCGGAGGCTGCCCCATCTCTGCCCCCGATCCTGCCCTCACCCCATATTCCAACATTCAGTCAGATGTTCCCTCCTGGATCGATGACCAGCACCTCAGATTCAACACGTTCCAAAACCTCTTCCTTTTCAAACCATCCATGGCCATGATGACATCATCCTTGGTCATCTGCTCAGGCTCCAAGGGTCTGTGGACCTACCCTCTGGGCCTCACACCCAACCTGGCATCAAGCCTGACCCTCTCTGTGATTCTTCAGCCTTGCAATCCAATCTGACCCCAAGCACGGCTCAGGACTCAGCATCCCGTATCAGGAGAGGGTCCGTCCTCACTCCCAGACCTCTCTCTTGCTATATAATATTCTTTACTCACATCCTTAAGTCTTTAAAACCCTTAGTGCTTCCCTACTATATATGTATGATGCACAGTCACCTCGTCCTGGCACCCAAGGCCCACGCTGACCCTAATTCATCTTTCTAAATTTATCCACCACCCCTCCCCTCCACACAGCCCAGGCTCCCACTCAAGGGCAGCCCCATTGTCCACCGAATGGGCTACACTCCTTCTCACTCGGGATTTTGCCCTTGATCCTGCCTTTCCCCTGCCCATGAACAGCCCTCCATTCACACCACTTCCATCTGTCAGTGTTCTGTCTTCCTCCGGAGCCCAGCTTGCATCCCACCTTCTCCATAGAACCTTCCCTGGACATTTCACCAGAAAGACCCTCCTCCCAACGCTCACAGCTGGACGCGTCCTGCCTCGGGTTTGTGGTTGTTCTGTGCATGTAAGAATCTCGCTTGCTCTGTTGTCAGCATCCTTGTATCTCATAATCCGCCGTGATCCATCTATGTGGAATAAACAAAGGAAGGGGAAAAAAAGGAAGGAATGAAGTGCAGGGTGGGGTCAGATGATGACCTCAAACAAGGTGGAGGGGCTTCCACTGGACCCTCTGTGCAGTGGGACCCTTATGTGTTCCAGGTAAGAGAAGTGCCTTGAAGTCAGGGAGGGGAGCTCACTGCCACCTCCGAAGTACCCCATTACCCAAGCCACTTCCCTCCTTCCACCCCATCTTCGTCCCAACCTCCTGTGTTCCCGACCCCCTCGTCATGTGTGGCTGAGACACCAGGGCTAAGATGAGAATGACAGCTGCCCAGTTTTGCTGCAGGAAAACCCGTATTTAATGCTGAAGGGAAACCACCAGGAGATGGAAGGCAATGACCGCTACGAGGGCTTCTGCGTGGACATGCTCAAGGAGCTGGCAGAGATCCTCCGGTTCAACTACAAGATCCGCCTGGTCGGGGACGGCGTGTACGGCGTGCCTGAGGCCAATGGCACCTGGACGGGAATGGTCGGGGAGCTGATCGCTCGGGTAAGGAAAGAACAGGTGGTTTGGATTTGGGGGTGGGCTGGGGAGGCAGCTGGAAGGACAGGAGGTTGTGCTGTATCCTCATGGTTCTTCCATTTATTAGTCAATCGGTCATGCAGTTTTCATTTATTTGTCCATTCATTGCGCAAATCTTTCCTGAGCTGGCAACGAGCCAGGCACTGGTAATATACATTGAAGAATAAGACCACCTTGATCCCTGCCCTGTGGCTCTCCTGGTCCCAGTCCAGCACCTGTAACAGGTAACGGAGGCCTTGATCGCTGAACGCGGCTTAGAGAATTGGGGTTCCGTTCTTGGATAATCCAGGTGCTTTTTGTTTGTTCTGATTATTTTTTTGGTCATCAGCGCCTTTGGCAGAGCTTGGACAGGCCCTGGGAGAGTAGAACACACTCACGTCCGTTGACTTTGACACTCGAGAAGCACTCTCGAGGAGACATGGTTAAATAACAAGGGAAAAGGGATCACCTGGCAGAGGAGTTGGTCATAGTTATGGCTATTTCGTTACTTCTTGTATTATGTTCCGCTCTCCTTAATGTGCTTTTACAGACCCAGGGCCAAGGTGCACTTGGGCAGACTGTAGATTTTCAGGGTGAATGCAGAGACTCAATTAAAACGCAGGTGAGCGTCATAGAGCGTCAGTCGTCGTTAGGTTAGAGCAAGGCTATAGAAAGTTCTTGCGGGGGCAGAGCTCTTGTTTTCTTGGTATATACTGTTAACGTCTGTAAAAATTAATTTGGTTGTTACTCATTCACTGTCCATATTTCCATAACTGAGTTTTTCTGCTCAGGAAAGGTGATGGGTATCCAATGTGGAGAGCACAGACCTAGGTTCTTATGGGTTGGTTCTTGAACCAGTCCCTACCTCTCTGTGCTTTCCGAGTGCAGAAGGAGCCCCTGCAGCCTCCCAGCCAGTACCAAAGTGCAGGGTGCTTTACATACGTTATCTCTAATCCTCTGGGAATATACCTTTTAGTTAGCTGTTATCCTCATTTTACAAATGCGCCACCTGAACTCAGAGAGCTTAAATGACTTGTCTGAAGCCACACAGTTAGGGTGAGACGGGGCTGGGATTTGAACCCAGATTTGTCTAACTCCAGAACCCACATTCTTCCCACCTAAGAACACGACCTCAGCTGGAGTGGGATGTCACCAAGAAAGGTCTGCATAAGTCTAGGCCCTTCCTTCTCTCCTTCCTTTTTACCCTCCCTCCCTTTCACTCTTGCTTGCTTTTTTCTTTCCTTCTTTTCTCCCTCCTCTTTATCCATTGAATTAATATGATCTTAACCCTTTATATGTACCAAACTTGGGGTAAAATATACATTTTTTAAATCCTAGTCTTGAAGGATAAAAGTGTTAGTCCGGGTATTAAATAAGTGATCCTTGGCAATGCATGATGAAAAGTTCTGTATAGACAAGAGCATGGAGAAGGTAATTGAGAGCCAAGGTGGGACAGTGGTGAGGAGTTTGCCTGACAGCATTTGCAGTGACCCAGCGGGGTCAGCGGCAAGACTTGTTCAGCGAGACGGTGAACTGTCCAGTTCCTAGAGTCCAGAGGGAGGCTTTGCTGTCAGGGAGAGGCTTGCAAACAATCAACAGAAGGTTGCAGAAGGCCCAGGGAGCCCTGGGAGCCTCTCACAGGGGCAGAGTGGGAGGGTGAAGACTTCTTCAGGGAGCTGTCTGCTGTCTTTGAGACTCAAGCGCCCAGCTGACGATGCCCACACTTCCTTCCACAGCAAAGGATGTGCTGCTTTTCTCGAAGCCCCAGAGCCCCTCCCGAAGCAGTCCTCTTGTTGGGATGCCCTGGTAGAGATGCAGTCCAGTGGTTAAACCCCAGAAAGCTGAAATGCTAGGCCTTTTCCTTCCCTTCTTACCGATGTACTCTGTCACCTTGAGCCTGTTTCTTCAGCCCCCTTGGCCTTCCTGGTGATTGGTGGGGTGACTTCAGGGATGTCAGAGTCAGTGCACAGCCATCCCCTTATCAACTCCCAAATGAGCTGTGACATGGACTGGCAGGAAGAGGAGAGGAATCCAAGGCTCAAGGACATGCAGCTTCGTACTGAACGACTTGGGCAATCAGACAGGATCTTAAAATTCACTCCAGGTCGGCTTGCAAGTCAAAACACTGCTGCTTTGGTCTCATCAAGACTTGACTGCGTAGTATTAATTACTTAACTAATTAACCCATTCGTTCAATACAGATCCATCGAACACTTTCCTCTTTCCTAGACAATGGAGATACAATGGGGGACAAAATAAACGTACTCACTACCCTCATGAATCTTACTAGTGAGAGACAGATATTAATGAATGATCACAGCAGGATATTACTAACACACTGTGTTAAGTACAAAGAAAGGGGAAGTAGAAGGAGCTATGAGAGGGTACCTGCGGGGGAGGGGTCCAGCCTTGAGAGGCAAGGGGACAGGGGAGGGAAGGCTTCCCTTGGGAAATGATGTTTGAGCTGATGTGTGAAGAATGAGAAGAGCATATCTGCCAGAAGGTCGTCTGAATGCCACGGAGTGGGGGCTTATTCTGGGCAGGAGTGCGTGACCCCGGCCCTGCTCTGCCCCGGGGTTCAACGCTTTGATGTGTCTGCCTCAGTGTTCCCCTAGGATCACAGTAGTCCTAGAGCCTGCATCCTTCCTGTATGACCCCTTCCCCAAGCTGCACAGGAACAAGTCAGAGGTTGTAACAGTAGAGCCTTGGGGCTACTTGATGTCCCAAGTGGAACAGACCTCAGAGGTCACGGCACCTAAATCTGTCACTTATACAGATGAGGAAATACAGGCTCAGAGAACTTAAGTAACCTGCCAAAGATCGCACAGCTGGTGAGTTTGGAGCCAGCATTTAAGCCCTTGTCTGACTTCAGTGCTTGTGTTCTGAGAGCGTGAATCTTGAAGTTAGACCTAACATCAATTCACCCCCTTACTAGCTGGGTGTTCTTACGCAACTTATTTTATCTTTTCCACTCCATCCCCCAAGGCTTCAGTGTTTATCTAGAAAGAATTTTTGTAAGGATTTATAATAACATACACGTGAGTATGCACACACGCATAGAAAGTTTGACATACAGGAATTTCTTTTTTTTAGAGAGTTTGAGGAATGCAGTAGCTTCCTGGATGTTGGAGTGATGTGCTGTAAAGAGTAGAGGCCTGGGTCATCTCCACTGGGCATTCTAGAGCCTCAGTCTTACACATCCATTGTCACCTGCTTTTTTTTTTTTTAACATCTTTATTGGAGTATAATTGCTTTACAGTGGTGTGTTAGTTTCTGCTGTATAACAAAGTGAATCAGCTATACGGACACATATATCCCCATATCCCCTCCATTGTCACCTGCTTACCCAAGACCGTTGCGGTTTGGACATGTGCATTCAAGCATATTTTCTGCTTATGTTTAGAAATCATCAGAGCCTGTCTTTTGGTGTAAATCCCATTAAAAGTAGGAGTGTGGTTGGAGTGAAAACAAGTGGATTCACATAAAATGGGCCAGGTGGCTGGCCTCTCACCCCCAGGGCTGTGTCTGGGCAGGGGAGATGAGAACCATGTCTGTTTGGGAGCCTCTTGGGTTTGGATTTATATTACTCCAGTCACATCCTTCACAGCTGAGCCCACAGCAGGACTGCACAGAAGTGATGGTGTGTCTTGGTGGAGGTATACTTGGCAGAGAGGAGGAGATGGACTAGAGCAGCTTGAAGAAGAAGATGCCCTCAGAACAGCCTCAGCCTCCTCCTGTATCACCCCAATAAATTTATTTAAAGTGAGCTTTTAATTGAAATTGTTCAAGGTATTCAGAAACAAAGTTGAATGAGGTAGTCCCTATGATGGGGGACCAGTTGGGTAAAAGCAGAGGGAGAAAGGCTATAGGATGGGGAGGGATAGGGGATGGTGAGAGGACTGGAGGACAGCCTCCTGACTCTGCTTGTGATGTGTAGGGAAAACGCCTGCAGGAGGTGATGCTTGACTTGAATCTTTAAGGACCAGGAGAAGTTGGCCAGGGAGAGGAGGGACATGGAGAGAGAAGAACATGCCAGGTGGGAAGGAACTAGGGTCCAAGGCGTGGAGACAGGAAGGTGCATATGGTAGTTTCTGTTTCAGGTCACTATACCTGGAACAGAGCATGGTGGAAAGCAAGGCTAGGAAGTGGGCAGTGCTCACTGACGAAGGTCCTATATGACCTTCTACAGCATGGAATGTGGAGGGGCGGGACAAGCCTGGAGGTAGGGGAACCGGGTAGAAGGTCAGGTTGCTCCAACAGTTGATGAGAACCAAAAGTAACTTAGGAGTTAGAGGAAGGTACCTATCTTTAAAGATAACAGTTTTTCTTTTATATAGAGGTATGCAGTCTTTACAAAATATGTATGTTTTAAAAGACAAAAAATTACTTGTAATTCCACCATCTAGTAATACCCATGGTTAACATTTCCATATGGGCCCTTCTGATTTCTTAATGAGTATATACTTTACACAAGTTTTTCCTTAAACTGGATCATAATGCTTATGCTGTTTTGTAACCTGTTGAAACTATTTAACAGATAAATCATCAGGACTCGGGGACCAAATGGATGTGGCCAAGGGGAGAGGGACAAGAGTAGGATGACACCCAGGTTTCTGACGTGGACATCTGGGTGGATGGTGGTGCCAGTCATTGAGGTGGAAAGTTCAGGAGAAAAATAGGTCTGGGAGGAAGGAGGGGGATGATTTCAGCTTTGAAAATGGTAACTTTGAAAAGCCTTTTGGACACGCAGGTAGGGATATTCAGCAAGAGTTGGCTAGAATGGGCTCAGCGGATCGAAGCTCTAGGTGTGGGAGTGGATGTAGATGGTTACTGAAGCTGTGAGGAGAGAAGGAATCCCCAGGGAGAAAATCATACGTTCAAGAGGGAGGTGAGGGAGGAGAGCCTGTGAAGGCTGCTGAGAGAGAGTGGGTAAAGAAGTTTCCCACCTCTTGAAAGGAAGTACAGAAGAGCCTTCATCAGGTTTAGCA